ACCCCTATCCTAACACTAAAACTAACCCAAACACGAACACTAATACTAACCCCTATCCTAACCCTAACCCAAACACTAACACTAATACTAACCCCTATCCTAACACTAAAACTAACCCTAACCCAAAAACGAACACTAATACTAACCCCCTAGCCTAAGTAACCCAAACACAAACACAAACCCTAACACTAATACTAACCCCCAATCCTAACCCTAACACTAACTCTAACCCTAACACTAACCCTAACACTAACACTATACCCACGCATTGCCGTGGCACCCAGCTCACCGGAGAACGAGTATCGATCAACGATCAGCGTCGTCCCACTCATCAGCTTCTCTCTCATCTTCGGCGCAGCCTCCCAGCGGTTGGCGGCGAACAGGAGGTGTATCGCGTGATCTTCCAGCTCTATGCCGCATTCCAGGTACTCCCTGCACATCTTTCCTGCGGGAGAACAACGCGGGATGTTGTCGTAGAAGGGGTGCAACGTGGAGGCGAGGGATGCGGGAGCGGCGGGGGAAGAAACATGGTAGTTACACAGATAAGGTCTATGTCTCCCTGACCTCTGTTTGACCTGGCTCGTTTACAGGTTTAGCTATTTCTGACTAACCCAAACCCTGATAACTATCTGATATGGTTAGGGTTAGGGTTAGTCAGAAATAGCTAAACGAGCCAGGTCAAACAAAGGTCAAGGAGACAGACCCTACGGGCGGTAGTTACATGCGCGCGATATGTTGTAATGTATGTATTATATCATGTATTGTATCTATGTTGTATTGTAGTATAGTAATGTTCTATATACTCTAGTAGTATGATGAAAAGGTTTAATTGTCTTCCTAGGCACTGTCAGAGCATAACTCTACTACTATATAGATTGTATCTAAAGTTGTTACTTTAAACTGACGCTAAGCCCTTCCGGTTTCCTAAGACTTTTCATTTAAAAATTTATAATTCCTTAGGATTTTAACAGCATGCAAAGATTCAAAAGTAATTCCATTGTCAAAATGAGCATGATGTGATCAGTGGGTGGTAGAACTTTAGGTGATGAAACCAATAAACTTTTTGCATAAATGTTAAGTAGCAAATCCAGCTGCATTCATACAGTCAATGCTTAGTTTTAATATTAGTACGATCATGAATATATGCATCCTCTAAGAGGATTCACATGTTCATTGCATTATAAATGTGCGCAATTCTATACATATAATTGTTGGAATATTACATGTCTACAAGTGACGGTACGTACCGATGTGTGTGGATCCATCTGGAAATCTCATGAATTCGACGTTTTTGCCCTCGCTCTTCAGCACATCTACCAGCTTTTTGCACTGCGTTGTCTTTCCACATCGATCACATCCTTCAAAGACGATCAACGCTCCTCGCTTCACCGCAGATCCAAACATCACCGACGCGACGTCGCAATATTATACTACTGGAATAAACATGCAAACTAGAACATGCAAACTAGAACATGCAAACCAGAATACCGTTATGTTACGTCCGTATACTTTTCTTAACCGGTAATTGCATTAATTAGATATTTTCTCAAAGAAAAAGACCATTTTTAGTACATGATCTGATCATGATCCCGATGATGTACTTGTAAGTTGTATTCTAATTATATGCAATCAAGATTCAGATTGTAAATTAATAATAAAAAAGGTCGGTTTCCTCTATAGTATAGGGTATATAGTGACATATGAGGTGTGACATATGACATATGACATATGACGTGACATATGAGGTGACATATGAGGTGACATATGAG